ACCTGCTGTACATACCTGCTGTACACACCTGCTGTACACACCTGCTGTACACACCTGCCTGCTGTACACACCTGCTGTACACACCTGCCTGCTGTACACACCTGCTGTACACACCTGCCTGCTGTACACACCTGCCTGCTGTACACACCTGCCTGCTTTACATACCTATCGACGTAATCTCCGAGAAACAGATAGTTAACATCTGGTGGGTATCCGCATTTGTCAAAATGTCGAAGCAAGTCCTCATACTGACCTGCAACAGAGAGATGCCAACAAACCGGCGACCAGTGATGATCGGAATCAATTGGAAATGAGTCATCGATCATCGGCTGCAGTCAATCAATCAAAGATCGATCGTGATTAGTTAATTGCATTGATCATGATCGCTAGATGTAAAGCAGTTACGAAAAATAAATACGTAATAAGAGAATAATAATGATATAATAAAAGTTATCGTCGTCTTGATAATACCAGGAGTGTCAAAATATAGATGTCATAAGATAGACCCATATTATGACACTCCCGGTAATATTAGATGAAGTAAATTGTGCATGCTGATACATAAGGCACCCGCTGTCTGTATGATCACAACATTAGGCTGACAAACACTGACTCCTTTCTATTTTGCTTTGATTTCATCTTTTTATTGGGCAGCGCGTGATTATGAATAGTGCCGGTCATGATTACAGAATTTGTGTTTCAATCATCGATTACTCGTTTGCGTTAACTGGATTTTGCGAGTGATCAGTTTATAGACTTTCTGCTTTTATAATCATTGAACTGTTCGTTGCCGATTCATGAACATGATTCGTTGCTGTTGATAATGGACTGATGCTCAACACTATTGCATCTATCATATTGTTTTCTCCTAAAAAAGACTGTCTTCAGTACATGTACTTGTATTTGAATTACATGCACTATAAAGATTTAATAAATGATAACAATAAACTATGAATTATTTGTTTTCACGATCGGTCGCCGCAAACAATCATCAGGACATCATACTGGCAATGCTGATATCATACTGGTGATGCCGATATCATACTGACAATGCTGATATCATGCTGGCGATGCTGATATCATGCTGGTGATGCTGATATCATACTGGTGATGCCGATATCATACTGGCGATGCTGATATCATACTGGTGATGCTGATATCATACTGGTGATGCTGATATCATACTGACAATGCTGATATCATACTGGTAATGCTGATATCATGCTGGTGATGCTGATATCATACTGGTAATGCTGATATCATACTGGAGATGCTGATATCATGCTGACGATGCCGATATCATACTGACAATGCTGATATCATGCTGGAGATGCCGATATCATACTGGTGATGCTGATATCATACTGGTGATGCTGATATCATACTGGTGA